AGAGTCAGACTTCCCTTTCTACTTTAAAGTTCAAGACCAATCAAGCTAGAAACCTATTTATTTTGCTAAAATTAAACAAAAATGTTCACCTTGCTAACTGACATTAAAAGTTAAGGTTTAGCTGTAAGAACACTTACTGTATGTTTAAAGGCAAAGTTAGAGCTAAGAGGTTTCCTACAGGCTTAAAGCTAAATCCAGCAGTGAGTGGATATTGTGAGTTTAGCTACAGAGCCTTTTGGGAAAAACACATTTTCAGAAATGAGTGTATTGCCAAATGGCCCATCATTATAGATGATGTCAGTATTGTTATGGAGACTTCATATGTAATTTTTTTTAGGACATGCATGTTGAAGGTATGTGAAAAAGTATGGATTTCAAGTCCAGTGAAGATACTGGATGTTTATTTTCTTTAAGAAAAACATTGAAAAGACACATTGTGATGTTTCTTTTAAGGTACTTCCAGGAAGCCCACAGTTTCAATTGCTGGACTTAATTGCTAGAGGTCACCTGAATGGGTTTTTTGGCAGTTCTATCTGACAATCTTTTGCAGGCAGTTGGAGATTTTGGTTTTCTGTTGGAGGAAGCCTACTGAAGAACAAGATGCTCAGCCCATTGCTCCTGTTTCTGAAGCACCATTGTGTGAATCTGGTGTGAAACCTGTCCTCATTAAGAGCATCTGGAAGACTTTTCAATCCTGTTTTGTGAGAAAGCAGAGTCAAACAAGCCTCAGAGACAACTGGCGTGTGATGTGATAAGTAACATGATAGCTAACTACCTTTAACGTGTGATATTTATGTCGACTTCAGTAACATAACAAATGAGAAATGGTCACCTCGTACTGAAGAAGTTGATACATTCAACAACAAAAACAGAAGTTGCTGAACATTACACACATGCTGTCATGTTGTGGCATCTGGTGACAAAGTTCATAGTTCGTAGAATCCCTACAGTGTGGAAACGGGCCCTTCGGCCCAACAAATTCACACCGACCCTCATAGCATCCCACCCAGACCCATCCCCCTATAACCCACTCATCCCTGAACACTACAGGGAATTTAGCATGGCCAATCCACCTAGCCTGCACATCTTTGGACTGTGGGAGGAAACCGGAGCACCCGGAAGAAACCCACGCACGGGGAGAATGTGCAAACTCCACACAGACGGTCGCCTGAGAGTGGAATCGAACCCAGGACCCTGGCGCTGTGAGGCAGCAGTGCTAACCACTGAGCCACTGTGTCAAAAGACTCTTGGGGTTTTTGTCTCTATGACAAATAGGAGTCTGTTAATCAGGAAATTGATTTATACCTTGAACTGGTCTTAAGATACTTTCCAAGTCTTCTTGGAACTTTTTTCTCATTCTCAGAAAGACTGGAATGTATTTATTCTGTGAAGCACATATTGCTTAAATAGCTAATTCAGTGACAATGTTAATTGCTAGATAATCTAAATTGAAATGTTTGTCTTCCATTTCTTGTTGAAGGATTCTTGTTTTATTCAAGGCGAGCAGAGGGCTTGTTTAATCCTTTCACTTGATACACTGTTCTGTCCTTTAATTTTTTTTCCTTCCTTTTCTCCTATTTTACTTTACTTTTCATGGTTGAGGCTTCAAAGAAATTGGGAACTGGAATATGGAACTGTTCTGGATTTAAAAGGTTTACCAAGGTTTTGACGGAATATGTAGTTTCTTGGAATTGTCCACAGTAATATGAGTTGTGACTCACCTGCTAGTTACAAAAAAGTCAGGTAACCTACAATTAGAGATGAGCAACACTTTTGAGAGATTAAAAAATGAGGTTCATTACTTAATCGCTGGACAGTCTTGATTTAGAAGAGATGGGCCTATATGTTGGAAGGTGCTCAGCAACATTCTTCTGGAATTGTTTTTCTAAGGGCACCTGAACCTGTCAGTAAATGAAAAATCCCTAAAGCTTGCAGTAAGCAAGACTTTCTGTCTTCTGGAAAAGTAGGATAACAGCTTAAAGCAGAACCAGCTAAAAAAGATCTCCCTCTGGCAATTAAGTATTTCTGGGAACGTGAGAAGATTTCAACTACCAGTATCTGATTTACCTCATAAACCCTGAAAGCTGAAATGTTACTTTTATTCAGAGACCTAAGTTTAGATAACTTTTCATCTGAAGTGAAGTCTGGTGTGAAGATTTTCCATCATTCTGCAGAGATTACAGTTTGATCTTGTTGTCAGGAAACTTGGGGAACCTTGAAGACATCCAGTATCATCCTCCGAGTTTGGGCCCTTGGTACACGGGGGTGCTGTTTACAACTTCAGCCTTTGTTTTTAAAGCCATATGATGTCCGCAGAGTTGAATTGTCTTGTTATATGAACGTGTTTGTTTGGGTTTAAAGGGATAAAGTTTAATTCCAGATTATAGCTTAGTTGTTAACTGGTTTTGCCACATCATTTATAGATTTTCTTTTTATTTTAAAACAAGTTATTTTTGAGTTTACTGAAGAAACCCGGTGAAACTCTTTTATCCTTGACAGTAGTAATAAAGGGAAACAATTTGACCATTTTGTTGATTTGAATCAAAGTATTTAAATTCATTACATGCCTCATGGAGTAATGGTGCCTAATACCAGTATATTCCTCCTATCAGAGTCATGAAGTTTTGGGGCTCATCCAAAATCTCAAAATTGATTTTGGACACGGACTAATAACAATTGATAAAATAGAGGGATAATTGCCAGGTTTCTCCTCATTATAAAACTAGAGTAGCATTGGAAGTATTGTTCTTACAGATGGAAGATATATCCCTGGTTGGTTAATAAATTTGGTGATAATCGCCAAGAAGGTACTGCCCTTGAGGCTAGTGTTTGGGGAATCAATTTATCATTTTAAAAGAAAAGAGGATGGGTTTTGGCAGAGACAAACATACAGGGCTATGGGGACCAAGTGGGACTGCCTGATTGCTCCACAGGGAACCAGCTTGGACTTAGCGCATTAAATGGCCTCCTTCTTTGTCATAAATGTCTCTGACATGGAGGCCTGGGACCTGCATTATTGAGAGGGAAGTGGAACCTGAGGAAAATGACCAAAGGTACAAATAAACTTAAGGTCGCACTTCCCAAAATGAAGCCTTTTCTGGTTTCTTAGGCTAGATATATGTTGTAACCCTTTTAACTGTCATAATTCTATTTGAAGTCTGTAGCAGTATAGATTCCAACTTCTATTTGAGTTGAAGAAAATCTTTCTGGTGTTTCTATCGTGTCGTTTGACTGTGATATCTTTGAAATCTCTAGGTTTGTGATATCTTTAGGTTACCTCCTGCTTGTGTACTGCTGTTTTAAACATTAGGAAAATAGGAGCAAGAGTAGCCTATTCAATCCTCCAAGCTTGTTCTGTCATTCATTTTGGTATTTACTAATCTGTATCTCATCTTCACTTACCTGTCTTAATTCCATAACTTTGTCACTTCTTAAATAAGAGCTTAAATCTTAGTTTTCAATTGAGCCACAACCTCCACAGCTTCTTGGGGGACAAGGTTCTAATTTTCCACTATTGTTTGTGGAAAGAAGTGCTTCTTGACATCATTTTGAAGGACCTATCTGGAACATTTAAGGTTTTATTGCGTATTGTCAGCTCTTACACGTGAAAAAAAATAGGGTAGATAAAAGGAAACATATCTTTCAATGGTTATAAACACATCAATTAGCTTACCTCCTAACTTTCTGTTCCCAAAAGACTACATGCTTTCTTCAAAATTTGTTCCTTGCGCTGGTATCATTTTGATCCCTACCTTCCAAGGCCAGTATTTCCTTCCTGTAATGTAATGCCCAAAACTGAAAGTAGAACTCCAAATGCAGCCCATCATTAGAGCTTTATATAAAAATATCATAACTTGTACAAATTCAATTTAGACACTTTGTCTTTTAGTAGACAAATCGATATAAGTTTAATGAGAAAGTGAGACATTTGCAGACAGTTCTGTTGCAAAATGTATGAAGTAAAGATTTGATGTTCTCCAGATGGTCTTGTGTAATCCAAGGCAACCATTCTTTGTTCTTGGATCAAGCTGAAATCACCTTTTTAACATTGCTGTGAATTAGATTAATTTGCATAATCTACAGATTTGCATAATTATTGTTATTTCCTACTCATCTGGCAGATCAAATAAATTATGCAAGTGACCATATAAAACATTTCCAGCCCATGAAATCTTGTGATCAGTTTACCATATGTCAATAAAAACACAGGAAAAAATAATTTAATGTTAATAGCTCTCAAACAAGTTTAGCTGCCAGTGTATGTTTTAAATCTGCACTACCTGCAAACTAAATGTATTTGCAACTCAACGACAAGTCAGACATGATGAGAATTTATAGAAAGAGCCAATTATCAACATTGTTTTCTTCTTGCCACATTTTCATAAACAAATTCACTGGTTTGAATGTTTAGGTGGGATGACTGCTGTTTAGTCTTGGTAAAATATTTTGACTTTTCGGCTCTATTTTTTGGTTAAACTCTTAGCATTCAAGAATTAGAGGCCTGGTTCCATCGTTTTAATGAGAAAGAAACAGTCTTTCCCCACCTGTTAATACTGTATACTGCTTAGTAATCTTCCAAACAAAACTGATGGCACCTCATTCTGTCATTGACTATTTTATAACTGTTGTACAAAATCATCCATCCTCTCTTCTCATGTCTGTTTAATGTAGATGTATACATCATCTTACCTACTATTATCTTGCTGTTCAGATACAACAACTGTGTGGGCTAATTAGTTCCCTCCTTATTTGAGTTTTGAAAGTTTGACATTTAACATTACCACCATCAGAGTGAAACCAATGTAATGGTGTAATTGAATCTATTATGATAGTACATGATTAGAAGCCATTGCTTAGCCTCTTTCCTCCAGCCCTGTTTAGCCTGCAGCCATTGGGGATAGCCATAGTGTTGATAAGTGCAACTTCTGATAGCAACTGTATACTAACATTTTACATTGCAGAGCATTATTTTGCTATCTATTTTGCTCTTTTCATGACAGTATTTAACAACAGTCATCCCTTATGAAAAGAAGGCTGGACCCCCATCTGTAGAAGATCTTCAAATCTTGACCAAAAGTGAGTAAAGGTGATTTTATAAAATGCAAATCGAGGACTCTGCTGTCAAAACATTTATTTTGTTGTTATTTCTAGTAAATTATTATTGCAACCTTTTTTATGCATTTTGCTGGGAATAGGTCATATTTCCCTTGTATCTTTGTGCTCTTTTCCTACAAGTGAGATGAAAACCAATTCAAATAGATGCTGAATTTTAAGCTATAATTTGATTACTCTATGTCTAAAGAGGTTAACCAGTTAATTTGGGACTGTAGTTAACTGTTGATATTCCAGTCAACCATGATCCTGCTAATGCAAAGGTCAATAATTCAAACTACTATTGACTATAAACCTATCCATACTTAAATTATCTATAAATATGCTTGTAAACTTGGTTCCGTGCCCTGGGTATCCCAAGTGTTGATCTTAAGTTTCAGATATTCCGTTACGTGCAGTCACTTTGGTGAGGCCCGGTATGGCATTAGATGTATCTCCAGTGCCATTAAGGTACAGGAAAATAGTCCTGTAAAATTAGTGCTTGTTAATTTCTGAAACAAGCACTTCAGGATCTTCTGGCAGTTGTAAATTAATGGTTTGGCGTAAGTTCTTGGTCTTTGTAGGCATTTTTACAGCTATGATTTGTAAGTAGTATCACAGTACCTTTTTATATCCAGTTTCTCTAATAGAGACACCAGGACTGAATCTGAAGCCTATCTTAAACTACTATAACCAGGTTCTCTTCCACTAAGCTGTTCAGAAATGAAAATCAAATGAACTATAAAATTGGCTGTCAATTTGATCTCACCTGTTTTGCACCATTGTCCAAAAGATTTATGTATCATGATCTTTCCTACAAAAAAGAAAATTCTGTTTGGAGGCCAAACCTGAATTGACCTGTAGCTTTATGGGGTTATTATTTGTTGCCAGAGTAGTGATCACACATTTATCACTGATATGGCATATTTGTTGATTCTCACTTCTGTTTAAACATTTGAGCGTATTTGTTTAGGTTATGTTTATGATTTAGAAGCACACAAAATAGGAGCAGGAGAAGGCCATTCAGTCCTTCGAGCCTGCTTTGCCATTCAATATGATCATGGCTGATCATCCAATTCAGTGCCCTATCCCTGCTCTCCCCCCATACCTTTATCAACCCTTTTAGCCTAAGAATTATAACCCTCACTCCTCCTTGAAAGCATTGAATGCATTGAAATCAGTTGCTTTCTGTGGTGGCAAATTCCACAGGCTCATCACTCTGGGTGAAGAAATTTCTCCTGATCTCAGGCATAAAGGGTACACCATTTATCCTTAGACTGTGACTTCCAGTTCTGGACTGCCCAGTCATTGGGAACATCCTGTGTTGACTCCGTCTAGTTCTGTTGGAATTTTACAAGTTTTTAACGAGATATTCTATTATTCTCCTAAAGTGCAGTGAATATAGTCCTAATCAATCCAGTATCTCCATGTGTCAGTCCTTGTCTGCCAGGAATCAGCTGCTAAACCTTTTTTGTTGGACTCCCTCCATAGCCAGAACACCCTTCCTCTGATAAGGAGGCCAAAACTGCATGCAGTACTCTTAAGTGCAGTCTCATGAAGGCCCTGTATGGTTGTAGCAACACATCCCTGTTCCTTTTACTTGAATCCCCTCACTATCAAGGCCAATATACCATTTGCCTTTTCCACTGCCTGCTGCACGTATATACATACTTTCAGCGACTGGTGTATAAGGTCACCCAGGTCTTGTGCTAACTCCCCTTTTCCCAATCTACTGTCAATCAGATAATCTATCTTTCTTACTATTGTTTCAAACAAGGTGGATAACCTCATTTCTCTGCAGTATATTTCATCTGCCGTGCATTTGCTCATTTACACAACTTATCCAAACCTCATTGAAGCATCTCTGCATCCTCCTCACAGTTATCCCTCCCACTCGGCTTTGAGTTGTCTGCAAACTTGGCGATATATTATTGAGTTCCCTCAAATCATTTTTTACATTGTGAATAGCTGGGATCTAAGCACTGATTCCTGCGGAACCCCACTAGTTACTGGTTATGACTCAACAATTGATCCATTTATTTCTACTATTTTTTGTTTCCTGTCTGCTAATCAGATTGCTATCCACTTCAAGTGTTTATTCTTCTGTTGTCTGAAATATTCCAACAGGGAATTCTTTCTTTGCTTAAGAAAATTTTGATTTGAAAATCTAACTGTTGGAATCCCCTTTTAAGTCCTTCAGGCAATGAAAGAAGATAGTGAGAGAGTGCCAAGCTTGCTGACAGATTACATTCTGAAAGGTTAGTGCAGATTCACTTTCCAACTTGATCGTTGTTACATTAATGAGTCAAATGCTGATAAATTTAAGTGATCTGTATTTTTACATTGTCTTTTCACTACTGAATTTTATTGCAATGACCTCTAACATGGCTCATTTGAATGTTTATTAAAATGTTTTTTTTTTCCAATAATATGGTGCAATTCTAGTGTATACCGATAACTAGAGGTTGTACAGGAAGGAGACTAAAATGTTGTCAAACTTCATTCAGTTACAACTGTCAAAGAACACTTTCAACTGAGATCTTTGTTGTACATCAGCCAAATTTAAAATGAAGATCTGATGACAATACTTACCTAGAACTAATAGCCCACTAACTCTAAGACTGGAAGTATTCTGATAGATCACTAACTATCTTGCAATTTAATCTAGTTTTACCTGGACAGAAAAGTAAACTTGTAATCTCCATGAATGTTAAATAGCCAATTTGTTCATAAGCAGTATGACACATCTTTTTTTAGCAATACATAATCAATACAGTGATTTAAGTTACATTAAAACACATTGCTGTAATACTGGCCTAAATCAGCATCCTGGAAATTGAGCAGAACCTTTTTGGGTACTATCTTGCCATATAACAAGATTGTATGCATTTCTAAATGCAAATAGAATTTGCATGGGGTCTTTCCAGTCTGCCGTCATGGAAGATCAGCAGTAACCCTGGGGAAGTGGCCATTTTCCTGCAGAGATCACAGAATAATCTGAAGATTTGCTGCAAAAATTCTGAGTGACAATTATTAAACTACTCTGATTATTTGGGTATTAAGACAGCTAAGTACTTTTTTTTTTGCAGGATCCTTCTGAAATTGGATTTTGGCTCGTTAATGGCGCATGATTGTAGCTGTACTGTTTTGTATTTGTACTATAACTGATCTGATACTGTCTGGTGCGTACACTGTGTCAAAAGTGAAAAGATGTTTCGTTTTCCAACAGTGATGACCAGTATCATCTTGAGAACAAACTTCACCCCTCATTTATTTTCCCCAGAATGAATGAGTTGTGTGCCATTATCAAGAATTCTTACCTGTTTATAGAAATTGAGCAATTGCTGTAAAGCATGAGGGCTTCAAAGACACAAATTGTTGCATGTTCTACCCCTTCTTTCCTATCTGGATTTATTCCTTTCCCAATCAAGAAATGATTTATTAGTTGTTCACGAAGACAACCAAAAAATAACCAGTTTATTACCAAATTCCGTCTTGTCGCAGGAATAGTTCACTTGAAGAATTTCCACCCTTGTGTCAATGCTTCAAACACAGTTCTTTTTCCAGCAGACTGCATACATAGTGAACATTATTTGAAACAGTATAGCAAGTTGCTTCATTCCCTATAGGCATACAAACAAAAGGCTCTGATTACAGTGCTGATTTATTGCTAGCAAATTTGCCATTGTAAATTAATCTTCAGGTACTTACCATTTAGAGTTAGCTTGCAGTAAAACATGTCAGTGGAGATAAAAAGGAAATGACTGAAACAAAAGATATAACAGAATGATAAATACAATTTCTTACCAAGTGCATCATGTAGATAAAAGGATTTGCTTCCACCCTTCCTGTGAGCATGTGGAAATGGGAAATTTAGCCTTTTAGCTGTTTAACAGTTGGCTTCTGGAAATATGGTGTATATCTAATTAGCTCGAGTTGTCTACCTATGATAAGGGATAGGATGACACTTTAATTTGTGTTGAAAATTCTTAGACATGATTCATTAGGTACAAAACTGCAACCCCCACAGAATTGTGATGGGTATTTTGAAAGAATTCCAAAATTTATGAAATGTAAGTGATTTTACACTTTCCTCACCAGGGTGACCTACTCTTGAGAATATATTTAGGAACCGAGGATTGGAGGGGAATGCTAGTGGGGGTGGGATTGGTGGTGTACTGCTGCTGGTTGCTGTTGGACTGGGTGTCCAGTGCTGGATTGGAGAGAGCTTAAGCATGTAACTTTTCCTGAGTTGGAAAATGCAAGGCCAGACCTCCCTGGAAACCCAATCTTTCTCTCTGTTCCTGCAAATGTCAAAGGCCACCCTGCTAAGTCGTACACTTTGCAGACACTCAAAGCAAAAAGAGCACACATACAGGACAAAACGCATTCAGAAAGGCTTGACCCAGAATTTAGGATGAAAGACCAAACTATACACTTCACCTGATCTGACCCAACCTGGAGCTACCTGTAGTTTTGCATCTTCAAGCTTTCAGCATCAGCTTGACCTTCATGTAGCGCAGATGTGCTGCCAAAAATAAGAACAAAATGCCAAGCTCTTCATGGAGGTTACAATTGCCAGCTTCAAGGCCTATGACGATTGTCCAAAATCAGCAGCTAGAACACTTCCAATCCTCAGGGACATATTCTAGGTTTTCTAAAAAGAAAATATTCTTCTTTTCTTTGCCATCAGCACTTTGCTCACAGTTTCCTTTCCAATTTTCAGACTGAGAACAAATTCCACCAGGGAACTAGAATTATGTGGGCAAACCAAGATTCTGAAACCTAATAATGCAGGATCCTCCCTCACTATTACCTAGCCTTGCACCTGAGGAAGCAATGTACCCTAATAATAAAGCAGCAAGAAAAAGAAATAACCTCCTTTAATGTTCAAAGATTGAATACATGGCAAGGAATACTTTATAAACCAGATTTTAAGTTCTTTACATTATTGAGTATTAAGTTGCTAGATAATTTAAAATCTATATATCCTCAAATAAAAGTATAGTGTTTAAAGTTGATCTGTCACACTTCAGATGTCACCAGTGTTCAAAGCATTGTCGAGAAATTTCATCAAACAGAATTGATAAGATTTTTAGTGCATGAAAGTTCAAAAACAGTTGCAAAATTAAAGTTCATCCCAGACTAATCCAGTTATGGTGACGGAATGACTTTCCACAGGTTTTAGATTCAAGTCCTTAGCCTGTTTAACGCCCCAGCCTATCAGCTTTATCTGTGTGAGCCCTGGCAAACTGTCAGTTGAGCAATTGCCTGATGCACCTTTCAAGAGCTGAACAGCCCCAGGACAAGAGAAAGAGTTGACATTTTATTCTGTTTGAAACACATGTTGATGACATTTGGTAATTTTGATGCCAATTGTGAAAAGTCCAGAACTAAGTTGTGTCCCTTTCTGGTCAAGGGCAAACTGACTGACCACATGGAGGTGTGTGGCCCCAGTGGGGTAATGGTTTTTATTAAAAGACCATTTACAATAATAAAAGTGCCTAAAGTCACGTAAATGAAATTAATAGCAGTGTGATTATGAAGATTGAGAAAACTGTGTAGTATTTAATTCTCTTCAGTTTTTTTCCTTTTGATTTTGGATTTTTGTTTCTGTTGAATTTACATTTACTTTACCACCTGACATTTCTTTGTTTTGTTTTTTTGTTGTGCTAGCACTCGTATAACGGCTGGATTGACTGAGGTTTGTGTATATTGTTCGAAGGACAGAGGTCTCTGGGATGTTTGATATAATTAGCACTTGTTTATTTGTGCATTTGAGGAACTGATATCCATGTTGCTTAACATGATGTGAAAGGATCGATTCCTACTTAGTGACTGCAAGGAATTGTGATGATGATATGATTTCATGCATGTTTGTTTCCTGTCCAGAGTCCCAAAACTAAGTAACTGTCTGTCTTTTAATTGATTCATTCATTTATTATATGTACTATACCTTCTGTTTCACTCTCAAAAAAGTGCTGAAAGGATGTTTGCTTATTATGTAAACTTATGTAGGTAATTAGTCATCTGACTTTTTCTATACAAAGATTCTCCTCCTGCTCTGCCATATCCAAGGCATTCACTGTGGATGGGAAGCACTACTGCCTTACAGCACCAGGGGCCTGGGTTCGATTCCAGCCTTGGGTGACTGTGTGGAGTTTTCACACTCTCCCTGTCTCTGCATGGGTTTCTTCTGGGTGCTCCGATTTCTTCCCACAGTCTACAGATGTGCAGGTTAGGTGGATTGGTGAAGCTAAATTGCGCCATAGTGTCCAGGTTAGCTATGGTAAATGCAGAGTTACGAGGATAGATGGGGAGTGGGATGCTCTTTGGACATTCCATGCGGACTCGATGGGCTGAATGGCCTTTATCTGTACTGTAGGGATTCTACAATTCCGGTGAGAAGCGTGTATGCTGAACGCATGTTTTCATGGATCTCGTATGTGTAGAGAACCCTTTTACTAATTAAAATAAACTAGCAATACAGCCATTTGGTGTTTTGGGAAGTGGAAAAATCGTTTTGTGGAAAGAGAGACCTTGAGATGTTGACATGTCCAGTAATAATTGGAAATATCTTGAGATACATAGGACAGTTAATTAGGGGAATTAAAGTGATATATAGAACCTGAAGGCTAAAATGTAAAATTAGTGCAAGATGCTGAATTAACTGAGAAGTGAATCACATTGAGCACGAGATTTTAAGGACCTTTTATCTTTTCTAAACTATTTAAGGGTCCAGAGTTTGTAAACTGTGTCTTCCAGGAGGTCAGACCTCTGCAAAATCTCTGTATTCTGTTTGGGTAGCTTTTGTACAGGATTTTGTTGTTTATGGGAAATGAGAGAGAAATGTGTTCATAATAGCACCATTTATAGCATTATTGTTGAATGCTGTGTGGGTTTTTGTTTTAATTTATCCATTTTGTGGAACGTGGGTGTTACTGAACTGGGCCAGCATTTATTGCCTGTCCCTAGTTGCCCTTGAGAAGGTGGTGGTGAGCTGCCTTTTTGAACCACTGCATTCCACCAATTGTGGGTTGACCCACAATGCCCTTAGGGAGGGAATTCCAGGATCTGGACCAAGCAATAGTGAAGGAACGGCGATATATTTCCAAGTCCTGACGGTGAGTGACCTGGAGGGGAACTTGAAGGTGGTGGTGTTCCCATATATCTGCTGCCCATGTCCTAAATGGAAGTGGTCGTGGGTTTGGAAGGTGCTGTCTGAGGATTTTTGGTGAATGTCTGCAGTGCATCTTACAGATGGTACACGCTGTTAATGAGCATTGGTGGTAGAGGGAGTGGATGCTTGTGAATGTGGCGCCAGTCAAGCGGGCTGCTTTGTCCTGGATGGTGTCAAGCTTCTTGAGTGTTATTGGGGCTGCACTCATCCGGGCAAGTGGGGAGTATTCCATCACACTCCTGACTTGTGCCTTGTAGATGATGGACAGGCTTTGGAGAGTCAGGAGGTGAGTTACTCACCGCAGTATTCCTTGCCTCTGGCTCTTGTATCCACTGTGTTTGTGGTGAATCCAGTTGAGTTTCTGGTCAATGATGACCCCCAGGGTGTTGATAGTGGGAGGTTCAGTGATGGTAGCACCATTGAATGTCAAGGGGCAGTGTCTCATATATTGATGGTCATAGCTTGGCATTGGTTTGGTGTGAATGTTACTTGCCACTTGTCAGCCCAAGCCTGGATATTCTCCAGATCTTGTTGCATTTAAACATGGACTGCTTCAGTATCTGAGGAGTCACAAATGGTGCTCAACATTGTGCAATCATCGGTGAACATTCCACTTCTTACCTTATGATGGAGGGATGGCTCAGGGTTCCTCAAGTAGCTAGTAACAGTACTATGTGAATAAATTTTTCCCTTTGCATGTGTGTGAAGGGGATGAAAATGGTGGTTACAGATTTTTAAGAACAACTCTATGCCCAATGATCACTGTTACCAGATCCGATCTGGGATCGGAAACGTGACTGGGGGAAAAAAATTGCGTTTTGCGAAAAGCAAAACACCTTTATAATACACACTTCCTCCAACACAAAGATAGCAAGGTCAGCAATCACCTGACACCAGGTTATAGTCCAACAGGTTTATTTGACAACACAAGCTTTTGGAGATTCAATCCTGGGCTCCAAAAGCTTGTGTTTTCATTTAAACCTGTTAGACTATAACCTGGTGTCAGGTGATTTCTGACCTTGTCCACCCCAGTCCAATACCAGCACCTCCACAGCAATGATAGCAGACAGGCTTCTTTTATGTACTTCTATCTTCCCCCAGTTGCTGGCCTCCCATATTCCCCTGGACCATCAAAAAAAAAAACTATAACACATTTTCTGATTAGAAACCATTGTAAATTCAGTAGCTGGGGGGTATAAAGGGTAGAATGATTTAAATGAGTTGGGACAATGGTGAGCACTGGAGTTCATTGTGGAGAAAAGTGAGGTATCTGTGTTAGATTTTATAAAAGATCAGTTTTATTTTAATGTGAGCATAGAAGGGGTGGAAAGTTTTGGTGTTCACTTAGATTAATTCTTGAAATCTAGTGCATAGATATGTTTGGTAATCAAGAGGTCTAATGGAATGTTGACCTTATCTCAGAGGTTTGAATTCAAAAATAAGGAAATCATGATTTTGTGTAGTGTTGGTCAGAGTACCTGATCTAAGTACTGTGTCCAATTTGGATACCACATATCAGGAAGGATACACTTAGAGTGGATACAGTGCAGATTCACCAGAATGACATTGGATTCTAAAGGGTTAACTTATGATAACATATAATTTGTATTGTTTAGGACATAAAAGGTCAGGGAGATGACCTCATCAAGATGTTGAAGATTGCAAAATAGACTGATTTCCTTTGGTGATCACAAAATCCAAAATAAGAGGATAATCTTAAAATTAGAGCCATACTATTTGGCGTGAAATTGGGAAGTACTTTTAGTGTGAAAAGTACTAGAAGCCTGGAACTCCCCTTTCTGTGCCGCACCTGCCTGTTAACTTGACTTGGAAGGGAATTTGCAGGGGTTGGTAACCCCAAGAACTGATGCTTTTCTTCTGGGTGGAAGGTGTTGTTGATGGGGCCTTGATTAGTCACTACATTCTGTTGATGGTACACATTGCAGTCATTGAGAACCAGTGGTCGAAAGATTGGGTGTTTCCAATGATGGCTGGGGCACCAATTAAGTGGGCTGCTTTATCCTGAATGGTATTGAGCATCCCGGAGTGCTGTTGGTGTGGCACTTGTCCAGGCAAATCTGGAGTAGTTCATCAATTTGTGCCTTGTAGAATATGGTTTGGGAATTTTGAATGTAGCTACTTAGTTTAGAATTCTGTAGAGTCCAACATGACAGTGGGGTAGCAGGGCTGCTTGCAGCCTCTTGCCCAAGGCTCAGCCGCTCCCATCTACTTGCTTTCTTTTTTTTTTCTTTTTACTCCCATCTTTTTTCTTTCTTTTTTCTTTCCTTTGATGGATTTGTCAGCAGCATTGGCATGGCAACGAGAGTGGGCCATGCGTGGTAGTGGCAGCCTCCTGGCAGTCAGAGACTGTGGCATGACACCTCCCAGCGAGTGGAGGTGGCAGCAATGCCAATGGACTCTTCAAGATGGCAGCACTGGCAAGGCAACATCTTGAATAAGGGCTGGAGTGGGACTCTTGGCACAGCGGTGGCCTAGCCTGACCAGGGACTCCTGATTGCATTGGTGCTCCTGGTATCGTGGAGGCAGCAGCGGAGTCGGGGACTACTAGTTACAGTCGTGATAGGCCCGGAGCAGGGACTCCCTAGTTATCGGCAAGTCAGCGACAGCAGTGGAGCGTGGGACTCCTGGTTGTGGGGCGAGTCTGGGTTCAGCTTGGGACTCGGCAGCGGCAGCAAGGTGGGCCCAGTGGTGAATAGATGGCACCTAAAGTGTGGTGACTCCTATGATAGTGGGTCCAGCGCAGACACTGGTGAGGCAGTGGAGGAGAGGTGGCAGCATGGGTGTCACTTTGCTGGTGAGCTGACTCGGGACTCATGTTGGAGGCGGCAGAATAAAGATAGACTCTCTTCCAGTCATATCATTTTACTGTTTTTATTCTTAAACTATTCAAAATGGCGCCAAATTGAGGCGACAGTTGAAGTTTTACACTGTATTTTACTGTAATAGTCACTGTAAAATGCAAGTAACAATAAATCATTCAAATTCAATCTTTAATTGACTCGTATGACCTTGGTGTTTATAATGCAGTGTCTAATTATATTTCTAGTCAGAAGTGAACTGCCAGGATGTTGATGGGGATTCAGCAATTGTAATGCTGTTTAATTTCAACTGTAAGATCAGAGCTGAGTGTTTAACCCTTATAGATATAAAACCTGAGTTTCTATGCAATTGAAAAGAGAAGGCTGAGGGGTGCCTAATAGGGTTCTTTAAAATAATGGAGGGATTTAATAGAAATGGCAGACAGACATGAAGGTTGTTTTCACTTGTGAGCAATCGAGGACACAGAGGTCATCAATCTGATGATTGCAAAGACATTAAATAGGAATTTCAGGAAAAAAAATCTCTACCAATGGCAGTGGCTAGAATGTGGTACGTGCAATGACGAAAAAGTATCAGGCTATACTGATGACTGTTTCTTGAGGAATGATGGAAGGAGATTCAAATGGAATTTAAATAATAATGTGAATTGATTGTTTCAAATACCTGTTTATGTAATGTAAATTCAGTGTTATTTCAAATTCTAGATGGATGTTAATGTGTTTTTGTTCTTTTGCAGTGCTCTGCCCAACTTAAAGCCAGCACTCTGCCATCACACCAGAGGGGCATGAAGATTGCATTCTGCTAACTCCCATGAAGAGAAAAGCATCTTTATTTTCCCATGCTTCCCAGTCTACTAATTTTCCTTAACCTTGAGTGTTGTGCTAAACTTGCCTTTATTTAATCTTACTAGTCCTCGGAGAGCAGTTTTATTGCACGGCAGTGAAGATTTCTCTTCCACTCCTCCCCACACTCCACTTAGCCTTTGCAGTGGATCATGTTAGACGACTTGCCTGCAGGTTGAAGTGTTCCCACCATGCCCCAGTGCGAACCCAGCTGGCTGTTTTTACCAGAGCATAGAACAAAAGAACAGCTGTACAGTTTTAACCATGAGTATTGTATTAGCAGTGTAATATCTATTTTTACAATGTGTAGGATCTAGAGAAGTTAACTTTTTATCATCAAGGAAAGCTGTTCATGCAACAGTGGATGTAAATAGGCTCAAGAATTTTAACCAAACCCATAAAGCAGCAAACCTGTATATTTATTCCAATTATGCTAATTTTCAAGAAGGGAACAAATAGTTTAACTGCACTACTGAGGCATCCTGTCACAGCACGGCTCCTTTAATACAGTGCTCACTAATAGCTCTTCTTTTGGGGTTTGAAATGAGTGCAAGGTTTGAAAATGTGAACAGCAACCTAAGTTGCAGCTGAGTGTAAAACTGCGAACAAATGGAAATCTGTAAATTTGTGTGATCTGCTTCTGGGCGTCCTCCCATAGAAGGGATTTGAGACACATATTGGTAATAACAGAGGAGCTCATCTGCCAGCAAATGTTTTTTTTCTACCACACAACTCTATTTAGATTGAGAAATGCAAATACTTAGTAAAGAGTTAGTTGTATTGGTTCCACAAGATCATTTGACCTGGTCGTCCCTCTCTCCTCCTCCTTTAAAATTCCCTTTTTTTTTGGCTTTTTTTTTTAAAATATATTTTCATAGCAATGTGACTTTAAGATAGGTATTGGACTCCATTATTTTTGTTGTATCTGGGGAAAAATACATTTTGGAAATTAATTTTTATTTGAGGAGAGTATTAAACATTGAATGAAAGCTGGGGTAGACCAACAAAAGCAGGGAAATTGATTCTTAAGTAACACTTAAGTATTAATTGGCTGCATCATTTTTTTGTTTACAACAAGAAAAAGTAGCAAGTTTGATTTGTGCATTGTGCCAGGTATATCAGGATACTACACAACCCAAACTGGGCCCAGCACGCAGGCTTCTGTTTGATGGATCGTACTGTCGAATGTTTTGTATTCATCTTGTGTCTAGGTTCTTCATTAGCAGTCTAGTTAAATTATATATTTCTTAATGGTAGAAAATAAGATATTATTGTGTGTGTGCTTAGTCATATGTAAATTAAAGGCTGCATGCTAACCATGTAAACTGTGTATGTACTGTGGTTTCAGTTAAGATACAATAGGAATTATTTTAAAGTGCTGTTTTATCTGCCCTTTTCTCATTTGTCCCTCCTTTCTTTGCCTTTGCCAATATTATCGACAAAAACCCTAAATATGACTCCGAATCAGTACACATGATATTGAACTGTAGTGCATGCAGCAATTTTGAGGTGAAAGTCCAGTTTTGATGCAATTGATTGCAAGTTTGGATGATGGCTCCAGTAAAGTGGCTGCTCTCTGGGAAGCCGAATCTTGTGTTTGTATTGTACCATCACATGAGATTTACAGAATGGAGGAAAGTGGACATACACATGGTACACAGGTTAAACGAAGGTAATGCCGCATTATTAGAGCTACATGAACAAAAAACCATGTTGAAGTCTATCACCTTTTAACAGTACTCGCAGGGTCTGTTGAACCAAGCATGCCTGTGTATACACATGCTGTAATAATCCAGTAATTTAGGATGGTTTTCTTTTTAATTGTGAAATAACTGACCTTGTAGCAATAGTGTTGATTTTAATGTAGAATATTGATATTTTTGTGTCAGTAATCTTAATTTATTATTTCTGTAATTTTTGGCAGCTTGTAAAGTTTGTGGCAGTAATTTTATTTCATAATGCAACCTTTTGAGAGCAAATAAACTTGATTTACACATTTTACAATGTGAACAGTATATGTATTGTAGAGTATCTTATCAAAACAAACAATGGTAACTTTATCAAGTAACTGGAAACAAGAACAGGCCACTCATTCCTCAAACTCATTCTGCTATTCAGTTAGAATAGATCATGGCTGATTTATATCTCAATTCTGTTTACCCACCTCTAGTAATGTTTACCTAACACACATTTATTGGAATTTTTCCAGCACGAAAAGAGGACCCTTGGCCCATAGTGTTGTATGCTCTGATTTATCAAGTGTTCATATGAATAGTTTTGAAATGTCTTGAGCAAGTTCCAGATATCCATAACCCTATGGATGAAAACAAAAGTTTTCTTTTCCCTCCAAACCCCTCTAAACCTCCTGCTCCTTGCCTTAAAACTATGTCCGTGATTATTGATCCCTTGACTAAGGGGAAAGGTTTCTGCTTATCTGCCCTATCCCTGCCCCTCAGATCTTTGTACAGCTCAGTCAGATCCCACCCACTCCTGCACTTGACCTTTTTGCTCTAAGGAAAACAACTCCAGACTATCTGGTCTCTCTTCATAGCTTCAAGCAAAGGTTTCAAGCCCAATACGATTTCTTCAAAACCCCTCAGTCCAGTAGAACATGAACTGTTAACACTGCTTCTCTCTCCACAAATGCTGCCAGACCTGCTGAGTTTCTCCAGCATGTAGTCTTTTTATCTCGGATTTCCAGCTTTTGGGGCACTTTGCTTTCATTTTAGACTTCATAAATCCTTTTTACTTCATTCTCCCAAATCTGGCTATTACCTATGATCCAGCAGTTGAGGGGTTTTGTGAAAGAAAAGCTTTTACATACAAATTACGTGGAAAAGCATCACATTCAAAGAGCAGATCATACTGATTGCTGCACTGTACTTACGAACAAACAATAGTTGCACTATCAGTCAGGATTGACAGCTTCTGCTACCTATTGAGAGCTATATAAAATCCTCATTCTCACTGTCTTCCAGAGAGGGGCTTAAACAACAATTGCAATTGTATATTTTCCTTCATCACATAATATCTCAAAGTGAACCATTTAAATATCTGGTCTCTATTATAAAACGTGCACAGGTGGAGAAAGTACAGTAAAAAAAGTTTAAGATGCTGAGACCCAAAAAGATCAAAGTCACAGATATAGGAAAATATTGAAGAAATTGGGCTTATTTAAGAAGTCTTAAAATTTTTAGATGGGTTGAACTGGATAGATGTTCAAAGAATGTTTCCACCTGTGGGACAATCCAAAACTAGGGGCCATCAATAAAAAAAAAAAATCATAAATCCAGTAGAAAAATGAAAAATTTCAACAGGAAACTAAATGAGAAAATGAGAGAAAAGGTATACTGAAGAGCTGCAATAGGGTAGGTGCAGTGGGAGCTTAAAGCCTGATACTGTGCAATCTGTTGTATGTAATGTCATGTATGTACTTGTGAACATCAACTATGCACATTCCTAACTGGAATATGCGAGTACAACAATTTGTACCAGAATTTCTGCTTGCAGCTTTCAGCAATGATAATCTCCATTAAGAATATGTTTGTCACTCTCACAATCAGTAATCTAAGCAATGAAAGTGTTTCTTTTGACAGAGCTCAGGAGATGGTCACAATTGAAAGGATTACACTGAAACAGACTCATTTTTGTTTACACTATATGGGCATTATTGGCAATTCCGGCATTTTTTTTCACAAATCTGGTTGCCCTTGGGGGTGGTGAGCTACCTGCTTGAACTGCTGTAAGCTTTGAGTGTAAGCTGAACCTCTGACAGGGAGGGATTTCCAGATTCTGACGTTGCTTCATTGTTCATTCACTGTCACTTTTCCAAGTCAGAATGGTGTGTGGCTTAGAGGGGAACTTGGGAGGGTGGTGTTTCCATGTCCTTGTTGCTTTTGTCTTTCTAGATGATAGAGTTTCTGGGTTTGGAAAATGCTGCTGAAGGAATCTTAAGCTGCTGCAGTGCATCACTGCTGCCATTGTGTATCTGTGATGGAGTAACTGAACAGTTAATGTTGTGGATGAGATATTAATCAAGCAAATTACTTTGTATTGAACATTATTAAGCTTCTTGAGTGTTATTGGAGCTGCACCCATCCAGGCAAATAGGATGTAGTCCGTTGCAATCCTGACTTGGGCCTTGTAGGTAGTGGACAGGCTTTGGGAAGTCCAATTTAATGGTATGATCTTTTATGAGGCTTCCAATGCACCATAACCTGCTATGTTTGTGGACTAAGAAGCCATTTGACTTGATCAGTGAGTGATGCCCAATGTTCTGTTGGCTCAGTTGCATGTTGCTTTTCCCAAATAGTCTGTAAGAGCAGAGGTTAATTTTTAAAAAAAACATTTAGGTTATTTAGCTAATTCAAAAGTGGATCCTTTCAATGACAAAGTAACTGGACCATGGGTTGTTCGCAGTCAGCAATCCTGCTTCTACATATTCAAGGAAACAAATAT